GTTTTTAACAGTATTTACATTATAAACTAATTGGATTGAGAATATCGCTGTAGCCAATAATGTCTCGCAAAAGTAAATAGTTTCCAGTTTATGGTAAATACGTCCGCCAGTAAAAAAATATTTCAAAGCTTTTCCATATAAATATACTAAGTGACATGAATCCGAACACCCAGTTTACATGGTTTTATTTTAATAAAAGTTGGTGAATGTATTTATCTTACAGTAAATAACAAGTGAAAAAATTTTCAGCCTTATCAGTTGGACATTCCGGTTTTTATACTGCTTTTTTAAATTCACTAACGCTCTAAAAATGAATATTTCAGACGCAGTAAAGAATCAACGTTGGCGGATTTTGGTTCTTGACATCCTTTACGATCGGTTACGATGCCTAGAGTACGGAGACCTGTACGATTTCGTCATCTTAGTGAGTTTGATAGGGGCCGTATAGTGGTACTTCGGGAAGCTGGACTTTCTTTTCGGGCAATTGCAGTTAGAGTGCAAAGAAGTGTAGACACTGTGGTTAGGTGTTGTCAGGCATGGCTTCGAGAAGGCCGTACGCAAAGTGCAAGGGGTACTGGACGCCGCCGTAGGACCGTTTCTCCACTACCAGGACCATTGCAAATGAATGACTTGCAGAACACGGAAGACCTATTGGCATGAGAAGTGTTTACCGACGAATGAGAAGTTTTGGCTTGTTTTCATACCGGCCACACTGGGTCCTCCCTTTAACTCGAGAACACCGACGTAATCGCCTTGAGTGGTGCAGACAACGGTCACTCTGGGATCAGGAATGGAACAGTATTGTCTTTAGTGACGAGTCTCGATTTTGTTTAGGCATGCACGACGGTCGTGCCAGGGTTAGAAGGCGACGTGGTGAAAGGAGGAATCCACAATTTTTTGTTGAAAGACATGTTCATCACACTGTTGGAGTTATGGTTTGGGGTGCTATAGCTTATGGTTCCAGGTCACCTTTAATCTTCATCAGAGGTAATATGAACGCGCAGCGTTATATCCACGAAGTTCTGGAACCCCATCTTTTACCCTATCTTGACACCCTGGCAGATCCAACTTTCCAACAAGATAATGCCCGACAACATGTTGCAAGAGTCACAATAGACTTCTTTCAATATAATGATGTCACATTGTTACCATGGCCACCAAGATCTCCCGACTCATCCCCAATTGAGCACGTGTGGGATATGATGGGTAGTAGATTTCTCAATTTACAACGTCCTCCTCAGACTCTAGAAGCACTTCGAGCGGAGTTGGTGGTTGCCTGGAATGAGATACCACAGGAGGACATTGACCACCTGATCAGAAGCATGCCTAGGCGCGTTGGAGAATGCGTAGCACATCAGGGTGTATCCACACATTGTTAAAGGTCAAAGGGCTTTAAAGCAGTGCAATAATTTTGAAATTCTTATCATTTACTTATTATGCTTCATTAAGTACTTATACAAAATTTTATTAAAGTAAAACCATTTAAACTGGGTGTTCGGATTTATATGTCACTTAGTATATAAATGGTCATCAATACTTCATGGACAAACATACATACTTTTCTTTATTATGGGGTTCCACAAACTACATTAAATGATATCGGAATATTATAATGTTTACGATTGTAAAGAAAATCTGCAGTCGCTGGCAGGGTACGCTGCTGCTGAGTACTAAAATCTTTTTCATCGTTGTGAATTTACATGCGATTTTATCCCCCAAAATGACGGCCGTTTTTGACACTGACAAGGGAGTTTCATAGATGATTGTTGTCTAAGCTGAGTCCATACTACATCTCGCAGACATGTATGGTATGTATCAGAAGTACACTCGTTTGGATTTTTTTTATATCGAAGCAGCCGCCCAGGCAGAAGCCTAAATGCCTGAACACCGCGGCTGCTATGATGATCCCGAAGACGCTTTGTTAATACGATTTTTGAACTGCCCCAAGTTAGGAGAACTGAGAAAAGCTTGGACATTCCGGTTTTTATACTGTTTTTTTTAATTCACTAACGCTCTAAAAATGAATATTTCAGCGGCAGTAAAGAATCAACGTTGGCGGATTTTGGTTCTTGACATCCTTTACGATCGGTTACGATGCCTAGAGTACGGAGACCTGTACGATTTCGTCAACTTAGTGAGTTTGATAGGGGCCGTATAGTGGGTCTTCGGGAAGCTGGACTTTCTTTTCGGGCAATTGCAGTTCGAGTGCAAAGAAGTGTAGACACTGTGGTTAGGTGTTGTCAGGCATGGCTTCGAGAAGGCCGTACGCAAAGAGCAAGGGGCACTGGACGCCGCCGTAGAACAACAGACCGTATGAATCGCCGCCTAAGATTATTGGCCTTAAGGGACCGTTTCTCCACTACCAGGTCCATTGCAAATGAATGGTTTGCAGAACACGGAAGACCTATTGGCATGCGAAGCGTTTACCGACGAATGAGAAGTTTTGGCTTGTTTTCATACCGGCCACACTGGGTCCTCCCTTTAACTCGAGAACACCGACGTAATCGCCTTGAGTGGTGCAGACACCGGTCACTCTGGGATCAGGAATGGAACAGTATTGTCTTTAGCGACGAGTCTCGATTTTGTTTAGGCATGCACGATGGTCGTGCCAGGGTTAGAAGGCGACGTGGTGAAAGGAGGAATCCACAGTTTTTGTTGAAAGACATGTTTATCACACTGTTGGAGTTATGGTTTGGGGTGCTATAGCTTATGGTTCCAGGTCACCTTTAATCTTCATCAGAGGTAACATGAACGCGCAGCGTTATATCCACGAAGTTCTAGAACCCCATCTTTCACCCTATTTTGACACCCTGGCAAATCCAACTTTCCAACAAGATAATGCCCGACCACATGTTGCAAGAGTCACAATAGACTTCTTTCAACATAATGATGTCACATTGTTACCATGGCCACCAAGATCTCCCGACTTATCCCCAATTGAGCACGTGTGGGATATGATGGGTAGTAGATTGCTCAATTTGCAACGTCCTCCTCAGACTCTAGAAGCACTTCGAGAGGAGTTGGTGGTTGCCTGGAATGAGATACCACAGGAAGACATTGACCACCTGATCAGAAGCATGCCTAGGCGCGTTGGAGAATGCGTAGCACATCAGGGTGCATCCACACATTATTAAAGGTCAAAGGGCTTTAAAGCAGTGCATTCATTTTTAAATTTTTATCATTTACTTATTATGCTTCATTAAGTACTTATACAAAATTTTATTAAAATAAAACCATTTAAACTGGGTGTTCGGATTTATATGTCACTTAGTATATTTGTTTCTGGTCTCGATGTCGACTTGTCTTCTCTACAGTGGGGTTTTGTAAGAAGGTTCTGTCTGCCTTGATCTTCTGCTGGCGATCAGTGTCACTCGACTTGTTAAACCAGCCGTTGGACCCTGGTTTAGTCACTTTCACTGTGTGAGGGAAGTATTCCTCCATTCGGACGTGGATAATTTCTGTTATGGAAGAACAGACAGCCGACGCATCCGCGTCAGTGAAACAGACATCTCTCCATGGAAAGCTAGAGAAGAAGTCTCTGAGCCCCTCCCAGTCGGCATGTCCGTAATGCCAAGTTTTGCGGACTGTACGAGTTTCTGCTGCCAGGATGTGACTATAATCTACTGTGCATTCTTTTTCTATAAGAAAAGTCCCACGTTATATATATATATATATATAACTTGAGATGTGGTCATTGTCGTCTAGACCTATATCAAGGAACTGACCCCTAAGCTGATCAGATTGTGCAGTCCTTTGAACTTTCGAATTGCTTGCAAATCCGTCCTCACTATAAACTGCATTTTTCAAAAATGAAAGACAAAGTCCCGCTGCTTGGCTTAACCAACACAGTCTACTCCATCAATTGCATCAACTGCAACCAAATATACATAGGTCAGACCTTCGGATCTCTTAAAGGAAGGATTATATCACACAAAAGTGATGCTAGGCTTCATCCTGAAAGATGCGCTCTAGCATCTCATGTTAACACAACAGGGCATTCTATGAATTACACAAGTATCAAAGTTCTTGATAAAGAAAAACACCTTTCCAAACGTTTATTCCTGGAAATGACCCACATTTTCATGAATAACAACTGTATCAACAAAAAGACAGATGTTAAACAACTGAGTGTCATTTACTCATATTTGCTAAATTGCGAATAATTGGAGAACTTACATATCTCCCCAAATTTCGACTTTTCACAACTATAAATATAATCTGTGTTTTGGCCGATTCCACCAACAAATTTCATTCCACTCAAAATCTAATAATTCTCTTCTCACGATTTATTAATATTTGTTAATTTAAAATTCCCATTAATTAAAATATAGTTTATTCAACTGCCTCTGGTCGGTTTAACAATTTCTTACATAACATTCTGAAAATCACATCATCTGAAGTGATTTGGCAACGTTTGGCACACGCCCACAATTCGTTCCATCTTTCAACACAGACATTGACAACCTTCGGCCTTCTGTCAAAGGTTCATCTCACTCATTATTCCATGACCACCATTTTGTGCAATCATCAAGTGGCTTCACGACGTAATGCTCTAATGTTTTTTAAATAATTTTTAATCTGTTTTTAACTTGTCTTGTCATATTTTATATAATTTTGACCATTGTACCATGTATCCAGCTCTCACCATGTTACTGGACGTTTCCCTCATCCTATACGTAAACAACAATTAGCAATGTCCTCACATACTACTGTAAGTTAAGTCAATTTAAATTCATTTTACACTTTTGTTGCTACTGTTATCATTGTAATTGCAGCTCCTGATGATGATGGCAAAGTCCATTGAAAGCTAGAGAGAATTAAAAAAAGTATAAAGAGTCCTCTTTGCTTAAATTTTGTCGAAGTACCTTATATATATATATATATATATATATATATATATATAATAAATACTGTACTATAGATGTATGTCGGGATATGTGTACCTCAACTGTCAACTGTCAAATGGCATAACGGATAACTGGTGAGCTGATAAGATAATTAGCTGTTACTCACCTTATGGATACTAGGATCATAGCAAAAATTAAATATTTTCCTAGAAGTGGCACCACCAGGGACGTTGGCGGGATGATCTCCACAACCAGAAGGAAGAACACGTGGAGACTAATGAGGATAGATATCGATAACGTCACCTGAAAACAAATTAAACATAGTAAGTTATAAATAGTAGTTAAAGCATTAGCACTATCAGGTTCAAATATTAGTGGCGCAATTTTATGGCAATTTGTCAATTACTTTCCACGCCATATTGTAACAGTTTCTCCGTCCGATTGTATTTATTAAATCACTTCTCGATTTTCATTTCAGAATCGCAACTCATTAATTCCATCTCTAGCTTATCCCATCTCTAGCTTTTTTACTTGGAAACATTTCCGCTTGGAGCGCGCTTGATGCGGAGTTCCTGATCTGTGATCCTCGCGCTTCCCTTTCACTTCAGCCGCTGATCTAACAATAGCTGAGAATTTTGTTCTCTGTAGCATGAGGTCATATAGCACCATGTGCTAGCATTTTGTGAAATGTGTGTCTAAATAGGATAAAATGATTGGGATCACCCCCTTTGCCTTCGCCTTTACCTTTCCCCTTTGTCTTTGACTTTGCCTTCCATTGTCTTTGACTTTGCCTTGCTTGGCCTATCACTTTGCCATGCCTTCACCCATGCATGTGCCTTGGCAGCGCCATCACTTACAGCTTCATCCTTGATGAAGATCACGTTTAAGCTCAACTTCACTGCATCCTTCGCCTACAACTAGTTTTGACGCCACTAAATATGAGGTCACCCCTCATAACTGGGACCTCCACTTGAAGCCCTTGGCCATCCTCGCTTCAGTCCAGTCAGAATGGACCCGCTTAGCGAAAGATAAGTGGATGATTTTGTAACAGCGCCAAAGATTTAAAACTTTTATTTTGTTCTTTAAAATTGTAATGTAATGAAAATGCTTTTCTAGTTAAATAAAGTCTGTTAAATTTTTGTGTTCTGTTTGTTCTTCTATCCTCTAGCCATGCCATGGTCGACACACAGCTACACGCCTGTAGATGTCTTCATGCCACCGACTGAGCTACCGGAAGCTAATGGTAACCCCCTTTCTGTGATTGTGCAGAAAAGTTGGAATCTTCATTGCAATCCATCTTTTCTGGACTTTTTGCCGGAAGGAAGGCTTACAATATGGCGAAAAAACATTGCAGCCATGTAAATGAGACATCATTACAAAAAATCGTGTCATTCATTTTTGTCGCTCTGTCTGCCGCGGTCTGTCCGCTGATCACTGGCGCTTTTATAACTTGTACCTCTTGGATCTTAATGAAATTTCTGACAAAATCTTGTTAACATGGTACAGATGGCACACCTATTTTTTCTCAAAATCGATTCAGAGGCTGCGCGCAACAACTGGAAAAACCGCTCCAGTTGTTTTACCTTTCCGAGATTATTTGACGTGCGACGAATACCCAGTTCTCGAGAACGATGTCTGGTAGACGTCTCAGGGCGCCCCACTACACTTTCACGAACTCTCTCGATATCTTCCGGAGCAAAGAACAGTTCGAACACGGCCCGACCTTGACAAGTCTTTAACATCACCTGTTTGCTCAAATTTCCGCGCCAACTGTCGAATGGTGTTGACGCTGGGCACATTATTTCGAACGAAGCCTTGTCGTAGCTTCCGAATCGTCGCATCAATCGATTCATTATTTAAGTAAAACGTTTTAACAATACGGACGCGTTGTGGGATCGTGTAGCGCTCCATGATGAATTGGATATTTGTGCTCTAAATAAGTTCTACGGCGTGACCTGCAGAAATGCTTGTATCAATAATAGCGCGCAATTTAAATCAGTCAGTTATACGCGTATATTGGCCACCCTGTATATTTATTTGGCTTTGTGATGCGATAAAAGGACATTAAGAATAGCTGCCAGGGCTATGATATTCCTTACGAACATTTCTTATTGAAGCAAATGTGTAACCTCAATCTTCAAATACAAAATATGCTTTTCAAGTAGATATACCATATTATGACACGGACTCACTTATTCGACTTTTAAGGGCAAAGCAAGCGAGGCCATCACTTGACATCACTAGACTGGAAATTTTACACTCTTTCCAAAAATCAAACAATCCAATGTGGCGGCCATACGAAAAATGAAAGTTGATGCGGGTTGCTGGAAAACAAAAGACCATTGAGACATGTCATACATGTTATCTTATTTTTCTTAAAAAATGTCCGAATAATGTCACATTTTGACAGCTTGGATTCACTGGCAAGAAACAAATTCCGCCATTCTCGATTTCTCGCTGATATTTTATATATATATATGTTGAAGTTGAGTCATTAATTTTCAGATAATGATTGTAGAAGGCAGATAAACCAAAATATGTGTGTAAAAATAAAAATAGAGATTAAAAAAAATGTTACCTTGTTTTATAAAGTATCCTCCCGACAAGTATTTCAATGTGGACCGGTATTTGATCGTGCAGTCCTGGAGCACCGGCATGCCCTCCCCTGTGAGGTCTTAAGTCACCTGATTCACGAGCCCTTTGTACTACATTAACACGAGGGGTTGGTTGCACTCGATTGGGAAACCGATCCGCATAAAGACTCCCCCCCGTAAATAAGAATCATGTCCACAAGTTCAGCATTTTCGTAAACATGTGCATTTTTTATTTCGTTTAAGCCACGCAACAAACACCACTATTTACTCACGCGTTACCGACTGACACATTGACGGAAAACAACTGAATAAAATTGTACATTGTAGTAAAAACATCGTTTCAAATTCCTTCGCTTTTTTGTTTCCGATGCGATGAATGGATAAGGCGGATTATATCCGTTGTTGCCAAACACGAGCACATAATATTATTATTGAGACAGGGCGGTACTCAAACTTCTAAAGGGCTATAACTTTGTTACTTTAATTTTACCAGAAAAATGTTAAAGGAAAAAAACATTTCTTTTGATCAGATCTACTCACTGTTAAAATAAATGACTCACCCTGTATATATATATATATATACACCAAAGTCCTTAAGGTTATCGAGATGTTAGGCTCCGCATCAGTTCTAAAAAAATGGCACACTCTTACAGCAATATCGGATTTGTCCATTATATTTTAATTAAAGATGAGTGTCTTCGAAATGCTACCGAGGCTTCCCGACTGCATGCAGATCGTTTTCATCAAATATCGAGCGAACTGAAATAAACACGGTTGACGAACCACATTCATTCCGGAAACGCAGTCCATTATAAAAGTCTACATATATGTGCTTGACATAGTATAGATTATACTTGAATCTATCGCAGAAAACGTTGGACAATACTTACAGGTGTCAGAGCTGTACTTGGTATTTCTTTTCATTTGCTTTTTTTATTTTTTAGACGTTCCACCGCACATTGTTATTACAAACGTAGTTAATTCTAAAAAGGAAAGTCTCAACTTTCAGGTCACCTTGTATATTTGTGGTATTTCTATGTTTCCTAGAAATGTAGACAAGCCGTTAAGCGCCCAAGGCATTAAGAATCGCTTTTGCTTTTGTTGCAAATGGCACTCGTGTATCATCATCTACTTGAACTCAAGTAAGATAAAATATAATAATAATTGAAAGCCTCCTCAACACCTCCTTTCACTGGAGTCGTCGAGAGAAACAAAGCTGCATCAATTTTATAAGACGACGGCGCCTCAGACACCTCTGAATTTTCTATTATTCAATTTTGCGTCATTGTAGAGGCATAGGGTGTCATAATGGACCACTCGTTCCGCTATTATGCTATGGCTGCGGCGTCTGTTGAGACTTGTTATCCCTTAATGAAGTCAAATGAAGTCGGCGGTGCCGGTCATCACCGTTTATGTAGCATAAACTGCCGGTGGGAGGTTATATTGGAGAAAAGGGTAGTTCAGCATTTTGTAGCGAGTTGGAAGAATGAGAAAATGGGTTATGAAAAGGTGGCAACTTGGTGGCCAAGAAAAAAGTCTCTTGGCATTTTTGATGGAGTAAAATACTCTAAGGGTGGATTTCACCAGGATTGTCAAATGAACAGTCCACCTATAGGGTAACAGTTCGTCAAATACAGCGAATAAGCTTCAAGTTCCAATCAAGAAATTTTAGCAACCAATAGCTATGAAATGTTGAAAACAAAATACTGTCAAAGTATGAGATGACAGCTTGTCATTGAAACATCACCAACCTATTGAATATTGATATGAATAAAATTCATGTTTTTATTTAATATTGTCGATTGTTTATTCATGTTTCTATTATTTTCTTCAATTGATATGCGATCTTACTGATTCAACATCACCTACCGTGTGTTCTTTTCATATAAACCTCTTGCAGATAGCTATTAAGCACCTACTTGATGACAGGCTCTACCAAAAATTTCACAGATATTGCTCGTTTCCAAACATTCATTCATTTACTTGCCGTTCATCAGTACCATTATAGCACCGTCGATTGATATTCCCACAAAACCATTCAGGATTTTCGATATCCATCCATAGTCAAATATTTTTTGGTTGATCAGGAACTGAACACACATCCACACTATATTTACAGCGATTAAGAAATACTCAAATATACAGGGTGACTTTGAAGTTGAGTCATTCATTTTCAGATAATGATTGTAGAAGGAAGAAATATGTGCGTAAAAATAAAGAAAAAATAAAAAAAAAAATTTACCTTGTTTTATAAAGTATCCTCCCGACAAGTATTTCAGTGCGGACCTGTATTTTATCGTGAGGTCTTGGAGCACCGGCATGCCGTCCCCTGTGAGGTCTTAAGTCACCTGATTCACGAGCCCGTTGTACTACATTAACAAAGGCACGAGGGGTTGGTTGCACTCGATTAGGAAACCGATCCGCATAAACATGTGCCATTTTTGATTTCGTTTGAGCCACGCAACAGACACCACGCGTTACCGACTGACACTGACTGTATACAACTGAATAGAATAATTGTAAAAACATCGTTCCAGATTCTTTCGCTTTTTTGTTTCCGATGCGATGAACCGATAAGGCGGATTATATCCGTTGTTGCCAAACACGAGCACATAATATTATTATTGAGACAGGGCGGTACTCAAACTTCCAAAGGGCTATAACTTTGTTACTTTAATTTTACCAGAAAAATGGTAAAGGAAAAAAACA